GGTGAAGGAGAAAGCCTAAGCTACTTTAAGTTGCTAATTGTTTTCTGAAAATCGCTGTTTAGACCTTAAATGTAACCAGGCAGCAATGCCTTCTCCAGGTCAGAGTTAGGAAAGGAAACTTTATGCTTTCTGGGCCAAAAAAATGCTCTTAGGTGCAATCATTTTAAAACAAACAAACACACTCTGCTTATCTGTGTCCATCTCCCCACTCTGGACGTTAATCATCACTGAAATAGATACCCCGTTCCCCAGCCTCAAAGAGCTCCAAGCCTGCAAGACCCTGGCTGAGGAATGAATATACATGCCAGGGCAAACGCCTCAGAGCCTCACTTCCTAAACACCTATTGTTCATTCTAGGCAATTCTACCACAAGCAAATGCAAGAGAGCACCCAGGCATTGCTCAAAGGATATTTAAAATGAAATTCAAGTTTGAAAACATACTGGACTTAATTTGGGAGGAATTAAGATTGGCAAAAGTATTTTTAAAACCCCCACAGATGTACATACACAGGTATATTTTATTCTTTCTGTTCTCGGCTCGTTAACATTTTCACTATTCGAACTTGCAGACAGTACCTCTGCTCGTCCACCTGTCATATAGTCTGTCTACTTCTTGCTTTCAACCTTCATTATAAACTGACAGGGTTAAATTTCACTGTTTTGTTCGTGAAGACTAAACTAAGTTAGTTTTCCTCCTACTCTTCAGGGAAAATTTAAAAGATTCCTATATGAAACATTTCCTTTATTTTTATATTGAAGATCTTTCTATTCCCCCAGGCTTCATAAAACCTTCAAACGAAACTGATTTTAAACCAGATGACTGACTCAAACTGTCTTTGTGCTCACTTTTTTTTTAAAAAGCTCAGGATCCCTACCCATGTTCACTGTTTGGGCAAGAGGCCTAAAGGGAAGCAAATTATTTGTTTGTGGTTTTAAAGTGACCAGAATGCCTTCAAGCACAAGTATAAGACCATTAACAAATCACAAGGAACCAAAGCAGTTCATCTTACTCAACAAAGCTATGATCAGGTTAGGAACAGCCAAACTGAATGGGACTTGCCCTGGGCCGGAAGGTCAGTAAACCTTAGCAGTTTGTGTTTCTGACCATCAAGAGGCTCTCCAGCAGGGAGTGCAGACCCTAGGCCCACAGGTTGTGCTGTCATGCTTCCAAAAACATTCCGGACAGGTGACAGAAACTAAGCTGTGTGTGTGTGTGTGTGTGTGTGTGTGTGTGTGTGTTTCCCCCCACTTCCTGTCTGTAAGCAGCACCGCCAATTCAAACCATCTCCACTTTTGCTATATACAGACTGATGAGAGGAGAAACCAGGCAAGTAAAAAGTTCCATTTTACGACAATTTCTCGAGTGCCTACTGTGTGCCGAACACTGCTCGTGCTTACACATGAGTACGTTTAAGCCTCATTTTACTGGGTAGGCCATTCCTGTTCTTAGAGATGATAAAACTCAGGCCGGTGAGTTTGTGTAACGTGTGAGAAAATGAAGTTTCGTGTTGTGCTCATAGAAATATCCCACTGTCCAGTCTGCAGTTAATTAGCCCAAACCATCAACTATAGTCCTGCCACTATCCAAGCAGCCATAGTCTCTTTATACTTTGGGCCCAGGCTCCCTGATGCCCTACGAGGACTGGGCTGTGTGCTGTCTCCCTCCAGGGATGACAACCACCTCTCTTGGTGGCTTATCACGCCTCTGCAGCTGTCCAGAAACAGACCACACTGGTAAACATTCTCTCCACCTGCTGTAACCCACATAACTTCTTCCCTCAACTCAGAAAACACGAGCGGTGACCCTGCTCTTTATCAAGTCTGTGGTAAAACAACTTCCCTAGAATGTCGGAGATACCTCATCCCAGGACACAGGCAAGAAATCAAAACACACATGGCTAATAAATAATAAAGCCATATTACTTGACAGTCTCAAAGCAATTTATACTACAAACTCATTTCATTTTGTTGTTAGTGCTTACAAATGAACACTCATTCTCATAATCTCTCTTTAGACCATTTGAAAAAGAAGGAAAACTGAACATCAATTCTTTCATTCATTCATTTAATCTCTCTAAGGAAAGAAAGCTAAGCTTTGCCTTAGCTGGCTTGGGTTCCCTTAAAGGTCAACTGATAATTTTTTTGAAAGAATTCTTCTTTTTTTTTAAATATTTTTAAATGTTTATTTATTTTTGAGAGAGAGAGAGCGAGATGGGGAGGGGCAGAGAGAGAGGGAGACACAGAATCTGAAGCAGGCTCCAGGCTGTCAGCACAGAGCCTGACACAGGGCCCAAACCTACAAACAGTGAGATCATGATCTGAGCCAAAGGCGGACGCTTAACTGACTGAGCCACCCAGGTGCACCGAAAGAATTTTTCTTATAAGAAACAAAGCTACAAGACCGCATGCCAAAAAATCCCAAAGAATCATTATCATCATACTAGATAACCAATTTGACAACTGGATAACCAGACAAAATCATACTAGAATAAAAGTTAAGCAAAATGATCAGGTTCAAAATTTACAAGAGATTATAGTAATCTTATACATCATTAATAATACCCAGTTGGAAAACATACTGGAAAAGAGACTGCATTCACAAAAAAAAAAAAAAAAAAAAAAAAAAAAAAAATGCATAACACATTTAAGAATACTTAGGAATAAATTTAACAATAGATATATAGGAACTTTACATTGAAAACCACAGAAACTTTTGAAGAGGCACAGAATTTTTTTGCTGGGGAGTTGGCTGGGAGTGGAGACATGACACACATTTAAAAAAAAAAAAAATCCAACAAGGAGGGGTGCCTGGGTGGCTATTTCAGTTAAGTGTCTGACTCTTGATTTCAGCTCAGGTCATGGTCTCACAGTTGGTGAGTTTGAGCCCCACATCAGGCTCTGTGCTGACAGCATGGAGCCTGCTAGGGATTCTCTCTCCCTCTCTGCCCCTGCCCTGAGTGCTCTCTCTCTCTCTCTCTCTCTCTCTCTCTCTCTCTCTTAAAATAAATAAATAAACAAACAAACAAGTTTTTAAAAATCCAACAAGGATAATATAACCTTAACAGATATGAGACTCTACCAAAAAGCAACAATATTACAATAGTATGAGATGGAAAAATATATCTGTGGAATAAAATGGAGTTCAGATGTACATACACACACACACACACACACACACACACACACACACACACACACTTAATAATTGGCAACATAAGCTTTCTAAAACAAAGGGAAGGAGCATTATTTAACAAAAAGTATAGTAACAACTAGGCAGTTGTTTCGGGAGAAAAAAAAAGTTGAATTCACCCTTGCCCCTAAACAAAACTGATATTGATGGAAGTGTTAACTATTTTTAAAAATCAAATTGTAAGAAAGCCAGCAGAATATCAAAATGATTTATCTGGTCTGTGGAAAAATTGTAAATTTCTCAGCTTTGGGGTAAAAGAAGAAAAAAAAATCACAAAAGACTGAAAGATTCTGATATACTGAAGTGTAAAACTTCTATACACTAAGATAGTAAAGTAAAAAGGACTGGGGAAAATATTTGCATCAAAGATGACAGATGAGAGCCTAGGATCTATGACCCACAGGATTCCAAATTTATGAGAAAAACATCAAGACCCCAATAATAAATGGGCAAAGACTAGGTACAGACAATCTCACAGGTGAAACAAACACATGGGAAAATATTTATTGGGGTCAGTGGTTAAAAAAAAAAAGCAAAATCATAAAACAACAAAACTTTGAGACACCATCGTATGCCCACTAAAATAGCAGAGTTTTTAAATTTTCACATGAAATTGGTTAATCCTTCTTTGCTGGTGCCGCTGTAACTTGGTACAATTTTACAAACCATAACCTTTGATCCATGAAGCCAATCTTGAGCGACATATGTATGGTATGTAACATATGTCAGTAAAGCTATCACCCAAAAATGCTTTATTCATTATCTATAATAGCAAAAAGCTGGACACATCATGAAAGTTTAATATTAGAGGAATGTTTTTAATCTCCGTTTTGGTAGAGTCCACAAACATTTATTATGCACCTATTTTGTCAGGATCAGTAAGACAGCAACTGAGGGATGGGTGGGGGGTTATGCAACTGAAAAGTCATTTTAAATCATGAGTAGTTGTCTAAGGTGGTGGTATTATAGCTCTTTATGTTTTAAAAACTTTCTTTAATGTTGTTATACTGTTTCATAATTACCGTTTTGGAAACCCATATTGGATGCAGTTAGGTGCAGTCTGAAAGCTTTTACTCACCCAATGCTATATATTTTCTTCCCTTCCTACTTAATAGCTCAGGTGGTTCAAAGTTTTCCACGCACAGGTCTCAGATCCCACCCAAAACAGGTCAAAATGCAATACCAAACAAACCTTCGTATACCACCTACACCTAATCCAGTCCCCTGCCATAAGCAGGCACCCCTTTTTGTGTGTTCTGCCTGTATCAAGCCATAAACTATGGGTGACACTTGGACCAGGGGCCTTGTCAGGTCTGAGCCCTTTTCTCCACATTCGATTCCATCCGAGCCCTGCAGCCCAACAACCTTCAGAAGAGGGTGAGCGGATGAACGTCCGTCCACAAAAACGTTCTGACAGACCACATGGCGGACATGGGTCCTACACCTGGACCAGAGGAGGCGTGCGAAGCCTCAGGCCAGCTCGGCTCGTGGGGAGCTGAGGAACCAGGACAGTCACCCTCTTAGAGGGAAGACACGATTACAAGCTGAAGGCAGTGCTTAAGACGGGCTAATTGTGAGAAGCCGCCCAGGGAGGGTGCCGACTGAGGGATGCTCACGGGAGGCTTCTCGGATGGGGGCCTCCGACAGGAGAGGGGCTCTTGGGGAGGGGTCCGGGCACAGGCCGGGTCCGGGCCTCGGGCGGCGTTCGGGGTGCGACACAGCCCCGGCCGACCAGGCCGCGGCGCCCCGCCCTTTCCCGGGACGCCGGCCGGCCCGGGGCGGGGAGCGGGCGGGCGAGCGGGCGCTTACAGGTCGGTGCCGAGCCGCGTGAAGCCGGAGTTGAGCGAGGCCCGGGCTATCCGGCGCCAGAGCAGGTCGCAGCTGGTGAAGCGCCGCAGCCAGCGGCACACCTGCGCCAGGCGGCCGAGGGCCCGCATGTCCAGGTAGGAGCAGATGAGCAGCAGCAGCTCCTCCGGCAGGCGCAAGAGCGCGGGCCCCGCAGCGGGGCGGCCGGCCGGCTCCCGGGCCGCCGCCTCCTCCTCGGTCGCCGCCGCCATGGCCTCCCC